GCAGCAAATCAAGTTTAATCAACCAGCACATTTAACTAGCAGACATGCAGAGTTGCAAACAGTGCAAGGCAGGCACAAGACTAAAGAAACAGATAATTTTTTTTTTGAAAAAAGTATGAATAACTTTGAACTTTGAACTTTGAACTTTGGATTTAGTATAAGTCTTCAGACTGGCAGCACTGTCAGTGCTCTCTCTCTCTCTCTCTCTCTCTCTCCCAACGGCGGCGGGCGCCACGTCAAAACGGCCGCTTTGAAATTGCTCGGGCCTGTGCGAAACCCACCAGCTCGAAAACCTGCAGTGTCTTGTGTCTGGACCTCTAGGCCATGTCCGGTGGGGTGAAAGGACACTTAAAAATCACCCCGTTATTTTTCGACGGGCGGCTACGACCCGACAAATGTCCTGGGCCGCCCCTTTTTTTTTATTTTTGCCCCAGGGGCCTCCATCCAGACATGGGAACTGGACACCGGACACCGGACTGTCTGGAACCCGGTCCGGACGTCCGGGCGGTTACCATGGTTTGTACTTACCCTCCAGCAGTTATTGTCGAAATGCAGTCATGTTCTGCAAAGGTTCCCAAAAAAAAAAAAAAAAAAAAAAAATAAAGGGGTAACTTCGGCACAGTCATTTTTTGATAAAAAAAAAAAAAAAAAATTTTTTTTTTTTTTTTTTTTTTTTTTTTTTTAATAACAAGGGCTCATGAGCTTGCAAAAAGAGCAAAAAAGAAACAGAGAAAAGAGCTGACATCAAGAAGGGCATGATTGACACCTATGTGGCTAAGATCAAGTGCACTGTATCTGTTCCGAATCTTCTTATCAGTTTAATACCTGATCCGTGGTCCATCCAGCCATATTAAAAAAAAAAAAAAAAAGCGGGCCTATGGAAACACCAATGAATGACGACGGCGTGATCTTGCAAAAGAGAACATTGATCGATCAGGACTGTACACTGTGCTGAGCTGGAGCCAAATGTCGACTGTCTTCCCGCAATCTCAAAAAAAAAAAAAAAAAAAGGGCTCACGAACAATTCAAGGACGGTATCCGTTCTCTTGTGATGCTGGCAGCAATTGTCGTCGTCGGCATCGTCGTCGTTGGCATCGTCGTCGTCATCGTCGTCGTCGTCGTCGTTTTCACTGTTATTGGCTGGACCCAACAGGAAACTGTCTTCCAGCAGGCTCATACACAGATGAAAGCATTCCTTTCCTTTTTTTTGTTGTTGTCAATCGTTGTTGCCTCGTTGCTTAGAGGGATAAAGGCCACTGACAGACAAAAAAATTCCCAACATATGGTGTTGTAATCAATGGTGATCATATGTTGGTCTCTTTTGGGCTCAACAGAACGGACGGTGGGTGCATGACCGTGCAGCGACCATATGTGCAAGATTCTCTCTATGACTTGCTGGATCGAAGAGAAACCGGACTGACGCTCACCAGAGCTGATACAGAGCCAGGGCATAAGGATTTAAAAAAAAAAAAAAAAACGACTGAAAAAAGGACCGAATGGATCATATGATCCAGCTTGCTGATCCCCAGAAATAGCCAAGGCTGAGATGCGCGGCGGACAAAAGAGAAAAAACTTCCAAAAACCAAAAAACAAGAACGAAACTGACATCATTGGCTCAATCATTCCACAACCTTGACGATTCAATACGACACGATAAGCGGATGATGGATTATATGGGTTGCCTGTGTCTGCAT